GCGCATGAAAATGGCAAAAATGAGCTTTTTGCGAAGCTCTTCGAATCAGCGGCAGCGCAAAATTAGTAAGAAGCGGGCGGAGCCTGGAAGTGGGTGGGGTCCGCAAGACTTCCGGAGTGGATTTTGGGCTTTCTAGAAGAACTTTTTCGCTTCAAACTTCACTGATAAATTAGTTGGAGGGTCCGCCATCAGAAGGTTGTAAATTCTATTACCACCAGTTTGAGGGGACGCTGCCTTTAAGATCAGCATTCAAGCCGGCTAAGACCGTTTAACTCAAATGAGAAAACCACTTTGACTAATGACATTTACTAAGAACGAAACATGTCCGATGCTTTGGTCTAGGTTACGCAAATCTTCCGTAAGCGACTAAAGCAACGGCTATAGGTGTGAAGAAGTCGTTGTAAAAGCAATCGGTCAAACCTATGACACGAATATTTGAGCGAGTGGCCGACAGGCGGCGGCACTCGAACGTCGAAAGTCGAAGCGAAACGGCGAGACTAACGCGATTTTTCAGGAGAGCGACTAGATGAATCGTCCTCATCTGCTGCTTCTGGCGCTATGGGCGCTGGCCATTTCCGCGCAGGTAGTGGTGTATGAGCCTTACTTGAACAGGAAAAGATTCGCTGCTCAGGAACTGGTGCCGACCACGGCCGTGGACGACCTACAAGGCGACCTGCTAATCCAAGAGTGGATGCGAGAGCTGCGGCGAGTTAAGCGAGCTCCGACACGAAGTAAGTCCGTGCATGCTTAGGCTAGCTGGGCAGTGGACGCCTCTCGTCCACAGCAATCCACACGAATGTCCCTCGATCCTTCTCTGTCTCTTTCACTTCTCCTCGCTTTCTCTCCGCCACTTTCTTCTTTCGCTGTCTCTCCTTCAACGCAACGTTTTGGTCTTCATTTTGAATTTTTCTGCAGGTGAATTCAGAGAATGTTGCACTGTAAGAAAGTCAATGAGGAGGAGACTGCCAGGTGATTGCAATTACCACTGCGAAAAGAGTTCGCGTTCTTGCGCAGACCTAGAAGTACAGGCCCTCTCCCTCCAAAGCGGAGGCGTTCGCCTCTTCTGCTCCGTTCACGTCGTTCTGCAGCTGCTGGACGGTCAGAAGTGGCGAATGCCTGCGCTTTTTCAAATACAACAACTGCTGCACGGAATCATGCAGAATCAGTCTTCCAACTTTTACTGGGGTGCTCAAAAACAGTTTTGCAAAGCTTGCATCTCGGGTGAGCTCTCGGGCATACTTTACTCAGTCGCGACGGATTTTAAAAACTCTAATTGTTCATAATTCATCTAAGCGCATGTGACTGTACAGAAGATAGAGCATTTTGAC